TCTCTGTGATAGATGATGCAAAATTAAATATAATGGGAGGCTGAATCACAATTCGATATAAACCATTTTATGTAGCAAAAGCTTTTTCAACAATTTTATGGTTCTTTAAAAGAACCAAAATCTCTTTTCTATTTAAAATGACAGTCGAGAGGTGATAATCATTAATACACACATCTCAGTAGCTGATCAGACTCTGAGGTGCTGAGGGTGCAAATATCCCATGTTTTCATTTTATGATGGAACTCACAGGTAATTTTACCATCAGTGTGCCCTCTTGGAAACAAAACACATTTGCTCTAGCCATAGTCATCATACTTTTAGTTTGCCAAGTTGAAGATTTTTCAGTAAAAAATTGTCTATCTCGTAAGATAGTATGTGTTGTTGCAAAATCAATGAATGCATCATTTGATTTATCATTAGAGGTTTTGTCATTCATATAAGCCTCTAAATCATTAACACCAATTGAATCCATCGACACATCCATGGTATGAACTTCACGAGCCTCAACTAGTAGTTTCTTATTTTCTTGGAACATTTTAATAAAATATTCTAAAGTACGGCATGCATGTGCTAAATGTCCAATCATTCCATACTTATGGCAAGAATACATCTCTAATTTTTGTTTTCTACTATAATTAATAGTAGAATATTTATTCTTTCTATATGGATAGAAATGGTCGTGACTATGACTACCCTGATACTTATAAGCATGTTTTCCACGTTTATATAATTTTTTTTAAAGATTTTGAAATATTAAGTACATGGGATTTAGGAACTATAGTTCCAATAGGACGAGCTTCCGCATTACACAAGAGTAGCTCATTTTGCTTTTCCACAAGAAGTACATGAGATAGGACATGAGATTAGAATGACTCTGTAATTTCATGTTCTTATATTGTTGTGCAAGCACAGCAGATACAGGAGGAAATGTAGAGAGAGTTTTTTCAATCATTTCTTCTTCAAAAATGTTTTGTCTACATAATCGTAATTGTGAGACAATACTATACATTTCACTATTGAAAGCATTTAAATTTGGAAAATCCAAGACATACAAATGTATCCAATTATGACATGCACATGGAAGAAAAATGGTCTTTTGATGATTAAACCTAGATTTAAGATTCTTCCAAAGTTCTACAAGATCTTTTATTTCCAATTATTGATGTTATAATGCAAATACAAGATGACGACAAAAGAGAAGAAGTACTTTTCAACGAATAGTATGAGAAATAAAAATACTTATTATACGAGATTCTTCAAACATAATGGCATCTAAGAGTCGTTCTGCAAATAAATTTGCTTTTGCTATTTTTTCCCATAATAGATAATTATTTCCATCCACAGTCAATGGTGGAAATAAAAGAGCTTGAAAATGTTGGGATGCACTAGTAATAGTTGGAACCATAGTAGAAGTAGTTGAAGATATTGAAGCACTCATTATAAATAAATCTGTAAAGAAAATACAAGATCAAGTAGAAAAGTTGAATATAATGTACCATAAAATATAAAGTCAAATAAAATGATAAACTTGAACTTGAAAAATAAAAATAAAATATTATTTTTTGATTTATTATTATTTTTTTTTTTAAAGAGAGATTGTGGATTAAGGCAGCAGAACAGCAATAAGACGGCGGCAATAGGGAGGGGGAGTGATAGGGTGGCAGGGTGCAACGGCGGGCGACAGCGGCAGGAGGGTGGCAACGACAAGCAGCGGTGGCAGGGTAGGCGGCAGTAGCAACATCAGTGTCTGCAACGACAGGTGGCAGTGACGGATTTAGCAGTAGCTTGGCAGTTGTTTAGGAGCTATTCAACAAATATTCTAAGCAAGGAGGGCAGAGAATGGAACAAGTGCTCTAAGCAAGCAGCTAATGTGTGAGGGACCAGCAAGAAGAACAACAAGATCATGAGGCAGACACTGAGCAAGAGTAGCAACAAGTTTGAAGAATCAAGACTAGAGCAAAAAAAATTATGATAGTGTATAGAAGAGAGTCATGCTGATAACATGTTGAGAATGTTTAAAAAGACCTAAGAGTAATAGTAAGTAATACACATACATAAGAATAGTAGTAAGTCATACACACAAGAGGGTTTCTAAGGAGAGAGAGTTTCATACATAAAAATTCTATTGATCTGGATGTGTCTCATATACAAGAAGAGAAAAGGGGAGAGGATAAACAGTACTTCTCCACTAGACTCTAAATATTGTAGCTTTGGTATTTACTGTAGTCTACAGTAAATATTATGGAGAACGTCAGCTATATTTAATGATCTCAACAAAAGGTTTTGCAAAGATTAAAAAGATGATTTTTTTGGCTTTGTCTAAAGAGACAGTGTCAAATTTTTGATGGATGAATTTGTGTCCCTCATGTGTCTTTACAAGTGGTCAATTAATTTACTCAAACATTGTATGTATGTATGTAAATTTAAAGCCTCTATATATTCATAAGAAAATAATAATAAAAGCATGTAATAATTCTTGTAGTTTCATTTGTGGAATAAATTCCCTCTAACAGTCTTTTTCCACTTTATAGTCGGCATCTGTAACTTAAGCATTTAAGTTGACATCAGTTTTGGTGTGGGCAAATATAGCCTGACATCCTCCTCATTCATCTAAAAACTAGAGAAGCAATCTCCTGGTTTTGTACTTTAGTTGCAAATGAGTAAACTCTCAACATGTTTTAATTGCTTTAATTGGGCTGTTTTTCAAAAACCCCAAAACATTGACATGTTTAATCTTTATTTAAATATTAGAGTTAAATAGTATAAGACTCTCATATTGGGATGACTAATAAATCTTAACATTTGCAAAATATGAACTGGCCAACATGAAGGGAGTCATGAGGTTAAACAGCAGTTGTGTGAAATCCTACCCAATGGGGCTATCTGTCTGGCATGGCTCTGGCCATCTGTGCCTGTGTGGAATACTTTTGATCACTTTGCAATAAAACAAACAAATCATACATTCATATATATATATATATATATATATATTTACATACATATATTCTCAACCTGAATTTAGCAAATTTTCCCCCTCCAAAATACTAACACACAATAAAGGTGTAGACCACGATGAGGATTATGAATTGAGAATGGTAGACCACTGGACAGACATGGTAAATTACAAATTCATATCCACACACATACTCATACAGATACAGTATTATATATATACATATATGCACATGAACAATCATGGCCTGAAAAAATCGCCCTGAGTGTGGGAGCCATTTTAGCATCATCTTTCTTTTTGTGAAAAAATCATGTCACTGGTGATGGGACCAGGTGGTACATGTGTGTGGAGGTAGGTATAAAATACAATTAGATAATTCAAAAAAATAAGTATCAAACAGAATGTTTTATAAATGCAAACAGAAGTTTGATAGGATCTTTTCTTCTCCACTTTATGTGACAATGCATGCACAAATTATGTGTGCATCAACTATGTTGTTGATGGACAGAGGGATACATCCCAACAGCAAAAATAAATTAATAATCAAAAATTAAAACGACACCAGATTTTTTTTTCATTTTTTGCATTTCTTCACTCTACAGTCCCACTTTTGGGTTTATATCAAAGACTGTGGTCATTCATTTCAATGGCCACTGCACTTGGTCATTGGTCCCACAACTTACACAGACTGCTGTGGTATGTTACTCAAACTTTGTTCATTGGACCTGCATAAAAAAAAAAATGACACTGTGAATGTCATTGCAATTTAAGGAGAGAGTCAAATCCATGGAAGCAATCCCATTAGGGATTTTAAATGACAATATCATCACTAACTGTGCTGTTAAGATCTGCAACCCCTTTCACACTTATTGGTATTTTTGTTAAGTTACAAATGTTACATACACATGCCCAGTTTCTCATTTTTGTTTAGTTAATTTGTACACGTTTTTGTGTACAGGTCTTTATATATGCATATGTACACATACAGACATGTTTAGTGAGGGATGGTCAGACTTGTTCTGCTGACCACATTCTTCACATCAGCTTGTAGATATTCCCACCACCTTTGGGAATGTGACTGTGTCCTATCTCACTCTATCCCCAGCAAAACATGGTTTTCCAATGCTGGCCAAATGTTGGGTTGTCCACACATGGAATCCAAGAGAAGATTCAAACTCAAAGATACCCCTTTTGCAAGAAATGAGGAAGACAATACAACAGCAGACCTCAAAGAAATTCCAGTGATTGTGAAACCCTAATTTTTCCTATGCATGTGTCTGAAACTCCACTTCTGGGCCAAATTATTGTGATCTGTGTGGATGTTGTGGGGTATATTCAAACACCTCTTTGTGCAAAGCAAAGTTTGGATAAATTTGAGTGGAAACAATGACTCTGTGGGTGTGAGTTTGTCTGAAGATGTTGTGGTGGACAAGGATCTATGAGGGAGAGAGCCTGTCTTTTATATCAGAAACAGAACACAGAAACACACATTCAAATGAAGAGAGAGAGCGAGACAATGGTAAAAAGAAAAAAAGTGGCAAGTTGATGCTTCCTTTACCAACTTATACCACCACACATTTCACCCACTTGAGAGCTAAAAGGGAGACAAACAAAGCTTTCAGTGGAGAATAGATAATGCTCCAAGGGAGACCAGGATTTCTAATCTCTGTGTCTATTTTAGCTTTCCTTTTATAGGTACCTATCTAAAAGAGTTGTTTTATTAATTTCCTGGCAGTTGGTAACCAGTGTATTACTATTAAACTCTATTTAACTGTATTACTCTTGCAAAGTGCAGCCAAATCAAGTGGGCAGAGTACACTGCTCAGACGCATCAGCTACTAACACTTATTAAGGATGCAGATCCTACTTAAGGCTAAAATCAGGAGCCTCCAACCGTAGGGAACAAGGGGAACAACGAATGGGAACAAGGGGAGGGATCCAACAAACAAGCAGAGGTGTTTGAATTTTTTTGGGGGGGGGGAGGGGCAGCCAAAAACCGGGCCAATGCGAACTCGGGGTCAGGGTCGCACTTCCCCGCGCCCGCGCTCTCGCGCTGACGCTCCCGCCCCCGCCCAAGGGCTTGGGGGCGTCGTTTCCGCTGGCACCTGCCCCGATTTGTTTGCTGATCCTCTGCGTCGGGACAGTCCCTGGCAGCAGCACGGACTGAGCTGCCATGTCGTGATTACAGGTGTAATTGTTTTTTTGCCAATTTCAGGAGGTTGGAGACCACTGTGGAGGTTGCGAGGCTGGACGTGGCAGAGGGCGTAAAGTAGCGGAACTTTTCTAGGTCGATTGGTTTGATTCCATGGGGAGGTTGTTCTGGAAGAAGCGTAGTAGACAGGTTGAGGTGGTTCGAGGTTGAGAGAGAGGAGAGGGTGGAAGGTGAGGTCATGGGGAGGAGGCACTGGAGTGGCTACAGTTAGGGGGGGGAAAGAAGTTTGGCTTCTTGCGAGCTGAGTGTATTGTGGAGGTTTAGGTTGTAGGAGCGGTGTAAGAATGTTGGCGGCCATGGCGGCGGTGCGGGGATTGGGAAGGTCGGGTTCCTGCGCATCCAGGCGTTTGTCGTTGAGCGTTGGCTTGGAACTCTGACGATGTTCGTTTGTGTAGCCCCTTTCACTATGCAGGTATTTGACCGCTGGATCCTTCTGGTGGTATAGTTGAACTATTTCTGTTCTGACAGGTTTTCGGGTTTGATATCAGCTCATTGTGTACGTTCTGGACTTCATATCGCTTCTTGGAGAGGACTGTGAGGGTCTTAAATCGTGCTGACCCGCATTCACTCCGTCGTAATCGACGGCGGATAGCTCTGAGTACGGCTCTCCCTGGCGTCTTGAATTGACATAAATGCGTAATGGCAGGTCTTGAACAGGTTCTATTTGCTTAGGGCTGGAGCTTGAATGTGAGTGGGAACGCGTAGTATTGTAAGGTCGCAATTGTCTTCGTTATATTACTAGATAGCTTCGACCGAAGATGTAACTCTCAGAGAAGCCGCATCAGTTGTGCAGCTAGTTGGTGCAACATGCTCGCGCCTCTATTGTACGTCTGAACTCTAATTGGTGAAAGTGGAGTTTGTCGAGCTGACCGAGGCCTCATGTATGGTTAGATTGCGGAGGTATTTGGCGATACATTTTGTCTTGTGCCGGTGACGATGTCCTGTTCTTTCAACTGATGCTATCAGCAGGGAATTATGCTGTCGTGAGTTAGGAGTTTCTGATCGCGTTTCCGCAGTATTCTGCAGACAGAATTTCGAAAGCTTTGCAATTTATTTGTCGTTTTGCTACAGGCCGGTTTCTAGATTGCATGCACTCGGCTTTGAGTATGTAGGAGTTTCATGAGTCTTGCAATTTTTATTGAAGAGTGACGTTAGTTGGCTTTCAATGGGCATTCTTTGTGCTCTACACCGGGATCTCTGTGCTTGAGATTCGCAGCAATTAACTTCGCAACGTGATGACGCATGACGTTGTTTTATGCAGTTCAAAAACTTTGCATCTCTGGAAGGTAGCCTCACAGTTGTTCGAGGAGCTATCTTGCGTGGGTTAACATGTGTTGCTGAGCTGCTGGAAATTGACTTGTGAGATTGTTGAAGGAGCGAGGATGAGCATCGCCGTCTTGTGCTCATGATCACAATCCCAACAATTACTATCTGTTGCCGTTCGCTGCTTAAAGTGACGTGAGACAGCTTCTTAACTGTCGTGGTCGGTGTAGGAATCTACAGTAGCAATGGCTTTTGAGGTTGCTAGAGTACATCAGCTTATATGCTCTAGAGTCGAAGATGAAAGTGTTTTGAACGCATCCAGTAATACTTGTGATTCTGGTGCTATAGGATATATGTCTCCTCAGTCCTGCAGCCCGCAGAATGCCTATCTTCACAAGCGCGATCCTGTGTATTTTCCTTGTGAGTCACATGGTAACGACCAAAGCGTCGAAGTCAGCACTTCACTGGTAGACACTTCATCTGTCTCTGCTGAGACAGAAAGCGACGATGATGGCGAACTCCTTCAATGCTTGGCTCAACAAATCGCGCACTCTATGCTTGACGAGGAGTCGAAAGCTGACACATGCGCTGAAGATGTTCGAAGAAGTGGGTGTTCCGGCGCTCCAGACATTTCTAACGTTGAACTGAGTGGGGTGAGCACCTGTATTTTTTCATTACATCTTTGTGTACTCAGATGCACTCGGGCGTTCCGTTTGATATATTCATTACCACCGGCGCTACCTGCCTTAATCATCACTGCACACGGACCTTATGTTTTCTCAAATTTTTAAGATGACTGTACCTAAGTGTTTACCTTCATCCTTCTGACTGCTGTCTTTGTGCAGTCAATCACCCTTGTGGACCTTTTTCTGATATCGGGCTACTGCTGCGATTGTCTTTGTGTTACTACCTACACCCCTATTGACTTTCTTGTAATTCGAATATTTTCTATTGCCATCATGTGTTGAGTATGGCGTTGATTTTCTCAGGGTCGACCATCTCCCTCGAATTGGTGCAACAGCAGGTGGTCGTCAGGACATTTACTTCCAAGTAGTCAGAGCAGCTCAAGTGTTTCCTCACAAGTTTCGTCGCCATCGTCAGCGCCTTCATTTGGGAATGAAGATGCTTGGGACACTCTGTATGCCGCAGCTGGAGAAGTCTTAAAGTTAAATGTGCACGAGAAGAAAATTTCTGCTCTTTCCAACGATGGACCTCCTCCGTCTATCGTCTGTCACAAAGCATTGCGAGGCCAGACTCAGCAGTCCCGCACCTCTGGTCACCATGGAAGAAATTCGCCTTCTCACTCTGCAAGAAAGTTAGAAGAGTGTATAACGTTTAATAAACAGGTGTGTAACGTCTTTGTGTAAAGTTAGTCAGAATACTTTATCCGAGCTTTACCTGTCGTGAGTTATGATTGGCTTGCAGTTGATATTAGTCGGAACTAATGATGTGCTTGTTTGAACTTCATTCTTTTAACCCAAAGGGTATTCCTCTTGCTCTACTGATATCACCGTTCTATTCTTTCGCTTATTTGAACCAGTCACAAAAGAATTGGGCATCGCAATGTGTAGCTATGCACACGATGGCAAACCAGGGTGGATCTCAGTTCCCACAGCATCAGCGACATCATCAATTGTTTAGTGCCAACGGCCAAAGAACTCTCAATAATTTCTCCCCTGGGTCACAGGTGGACTGCAAAAATATGTGGAGGAATCGTCAAACAGACTTGAATGCTGGATCAGGTGTGCGGGTTGTTTTTCTTGGGGCAGCATCAGGTAGAGATTCTGGCACGGGAGTTTTTCTGCCCCGTAGCTTTGTGAATGCCCCCGAGCACAAGAAAAGAGGTGGTAAGTGCCATTTATTCATCCACAACGACTGAGTTGAATAGGCTCCTTTGAAGAACATTTCTTGTTTGATCTGACACTTTTGTGTATTATTGTGCTTGTCATCGTACTTGCAGAAGTTTGTTCTTTGAGCACTGCAATGTTGGCTGCCTTGCAGGGGTGCTAACACGTGCCAAATCCCCAGAGGAGGGAGTATGGCCCACTTTGCAGCAGAGCATGCACAGAACAATTCTTCGTCAACCGGTGGCTCATGAACCTTGCCTTCCCACGGAGTGGACATACTAGCTATCACAGTAATTATTGGTTCAGTAATTCGGACAGTTTACGACTGTAGCTATCTGATTTTCAGCCGGATTATGCATTCACGACCAACATGATTCCTTTTTTTGAGCCTTGCAATAGCAGTAATCTCTTAGGAGTACTGATTTTGTAAGTGACCTTTACAGGTGTGTTTACAAAAACTTTGAACTGTAAATTACTAGGAGTAGGATAGGCTGGGTGTCTGCTGTACAATAGCCAGCAATACTTAAGGAGTTCATAATCCTTTGTGGCAGACATTCTTCACAAGATGTGCATAGCAATCAAACTAATAACGTGGGTTCCTGTAAGGACCTCACTAAAATAATTGCCCGATCAATAAACAATGTTGTGACGAAACGAAACTTCTCCATTTTGATTAAGTTTTTGATGTCTTTGCAAAGCTTAGCCTTATTGCCCCTCACAAAGCAGTACAAGTGTATCAGAATGACGTGTAAAAGACCACTTTCTTGCTTCTGTTGCAAAGTGGAAAAATCTATGCTTAGCAATGCAGACGAATGCCAAGACTACTGGTAGAATGATTTATCCTGAAGGAACGAAGTTTTCTATTCACATCACACCCCAGAACGTATGTATACTTCCATTTACACGCAGAACTGTGCGATGAATCGAAATGTACCCATAGTTCTAACTAGTTGTAACCCTGTGCAAAAGTAAGAATGAGAATCCTAGTCCTACCCGATTGTTGTTCAAGAGTCTTATTGTGTATACACACGTCGAAACCAGTCTGTATACAGCATGCTTCCGAAATTTTTCTGGAAATTATGTTAAAGTGTTCGAATCTTAAGATATCGCCCCGTTTAAAATTAAAAACGCATTTAACCCGATTGTCATTCTCAATCTTAAAAAGTAAATGAGGATTATGGTGATTTAAAATGTTAATTATTATTTTTATTGTAATAAAAATGATTAGGAATCAAAGCATATCAATTACTACTTTAATCATACAATTTGTGTGAACTAATTCTATTATAATGCAAATGAAATGTATTTCTATTAAAAAGCAAAAAAATATCTGTAAGACAAAAACTTATCAGTGACACTATATTGTATTGGTAATTCCTTTGGATAGAGTCATTTAATTTGAACCTTATATTCTAATCATCAATGTAGTAATAAAGTATTATCGAAATAATCTCAAAGGTGCATCAAATATATTAAAAATTCAAATAGATAGAAGATAGATAGTAAATGTATCTAGTCAATAGCATTAAAAAATTTAAAAATTTAAAAACTTGAATAAAAATGTTAATTTTAAAAACATTACTATCATCATGAATTATTTATTTTTTATACACCAGTTATTAAAAAAAATAAATGCATACTAAAAGAAAATAAGACATATTCTTTTCTATCTCATAAGACATAATAATAAATTTAATATTATTAGTTTAATTTTATAGAAGTTTGAAATATGTTACTTAAAAATCTTCTTGTTTGAAAAACAATATAATAAAAGTATTATTGTGATAAACTTATGACTAATTTGTAAGTAAATAAAGAATATTGCTAATGCCACTACAACCCTCCACCTACTCAATACATAATCACTTACAATCTTGTATACTCTTATATACAAAAACATGCGTTGTTCACTATGAAAAAGTTGTAACATTATAATTTTCCAAGTAAAATGTCAAAATTTTATATAGAAATATTAATTCATTATAAATTAGTAAATTAAAAATTAAAAACCACAAAACAATAAAAGTTTAATATAAATAGAATCATTTCTTTGGTGTTATTGGAAAAAATTATTATTATTTGCTTCAAAAACATAAACAGCTAATATTTGAAGAAGTGCAATGTGAAAGGATAACTTACAATGAGAGAGAACAATATACATTTTTACATAATAAATAAATAATATATATATATATTTTACATTATGAAAGGGCATAAGTTTTTAATAATTTTAGCATAATTTATAGTAATTTTATTGGACAGTAATTATATTATATTAAAGATAATCAATTAAAAATAGCATACATTATTATATGTTTTATCAAATCTTCTTGTATGGAGTCAATTTCTATTTATGATATAATCTCTATCAAAATGCACAATTCTAAAAACTATGTGACATATTGTTGTAGCTAAGGTTTTTGAAGCTATATGTTGTTTATATATAATTATTGAATAGAAACATTTTTATAATTGTATCAAATTGAAACTTTTTAATCTCTAACATATTGTAAAGTGTAATAAATTTAAGCAATATATATATATATATATATATATATATATTAAAACAACTTCATGTGCTTGCAACATACTTCAATTTACATGTTAAAGTTGTTTATCTTGATAATTGCATATACATATATAGATTTTTTTTAATAAAACAAGAGATAAGAACAAAAACTTGTTTAAAGAGCATGCTTGATGATATTTAATAGAACATGCTTGGTCTGGTTTTTTTGTTTTTATTTTTAAAAGATAATTTATAATTTTATTCTATATTAACTTGTTTAATTTGCAATTCAATGTATGACTCAAGATTGATACATATTTAATATTTGCTAAATATAAAAGTTACAAGTAGAATTTGTAATAAAAAGTTTCAATATGCTTGTAACTACATTATAAGTAAGATATGACTATGTAGATCTATTTTTTAGTTTGATTTTTAAAATACTTGTTCAAATATACAAGACAAGAAGAATAAAAATTTGTTCCTAAATATGTACACTGTGATAAAATAATAAGTACATAATTATATAACATTTTAGCACTTTTTTAACAAATATTAGACCACAAAATCTAACACATAGTTAATATATCAATACATAATATGTAGCAATAGAAGTAAGAACTTAATATGAGATTTGTATATTTTATTAATTTTTGTGATGAATTAGTAGTTTTATTTTTGAATACTTATTTAAATTGTTAATATGTATTTTATATTAGGTTAATATCCACATTCTTTACGAGCAAATAAAGTAGTGCAGAGTTCTCAATGATATACAAAAAAACAAAACAAAACAAAACAATTATTGCATCAACATAATCCCCAATTTTCAATACACCTAATCTTTGGCAACTTACTTTTTGCACCAAAAAGTGCACAATTATTCATCAAGAAATTACGATAGATGTGTAACCTGGGTATAAATTTCAACACTAGAAGAAGGAAATTTTGCAACCACAAAACCAAGTATTTTATAAATATTCATCATTTACTTACACACTAAAAAAGAAAAAAGCAAAAAACATGGGGAGAAAAACACAAACATACAAACAAACAAGATGTGAGAGATGTCTTGGCAATATCAATCGCAAATGACACACACAAGCTCCATGCGAAGATGGATCAGTGAAATCAAGGGGGGGTGGGTGGGGAGGGGTTTAGGGTTTTGGGAGGAGGATAGGGGCCTCGAACGGGTATTTCCCTCGCGAGGCGCTCTCGTTTGAATGGTTTCTTCTGTGCCCTTCCCCGTCACCTCTCTCCCGGTTTGCTCTCCACGGCATTTCCCTAATAGTCGCGCTTGCCTCGATTCGCATTTCTGTGAGGTATGGTGTTGATTGTTGGAATAGACGAGTGAGAGAGAGAGAGAGCGAGAGAGCGAGAGAAGTTTTGGGGCCGACTCTGAGGATGTGCTTCGTGGGATGTCGGTTACCTTTTGCGGTTCTGGTGTTCGTTGAGGTGTTGGTTGCTTTGGAAGGTATGGTGGTGGCCGTGTTGTTCGGTGATTGATTTGGAGGTTAGTGGTGAAGGGAGAGAGAGGAATGGTGTCGGTTTTGTAGCTTCATTGAGAAGTGATCGAATGGGTTTGTCTGTGTAGGTGTCAGCGGTCTAGTTCTGCTGGAATAGAATTTGAGAAGTAGAACTCGGGTTGACGCGTTTGTGTTCTTCTCGAGGTATTTGTGGTTTTTGGAATTCGAAATTCAGCAGTGGTAGTGCTTTTTCATCGTAATTGGTGGACTTTGATTTCGACGGGCTCAATTGACTGTTGATTTCTCTTGTTTACGGTGTTAGGCACCTCTTGAGTGAGTTTAATATTACGGTTTTTCCGAGAGATTATTTATTCAAGCTGAGGATTGGTGCCAACGTAATTTTCTCGTTGGATTTGAAGATGCGTGTTTAAGGGAATCGTTCATGGAAATTTCGAGCTTCAGGATTCAAAGCATGAGCGTATGAAGATTTTGTCCAACAGTTTGTTGAAATTCAAAAATGAGGGACTTGGAGATTGAAAAAGCTTTGAACGTAGAGAAAGCTTTGCTGGAACTGGTGAAGTCGAGGCAAGAAAAGGTGAAAAGGCTGCAGCGGGAGTTGGAAGTGCTACGGGCTCACAAAAAATTCCTTTCTGAGAGCTTATCCGTTCCCACATTTCCTAGGGGTATATTGCCATTTTGCTACTCCATGTTCGCCAGCATTACGATCGCGCTCTTGACGAAGTTTCTTTTAGGGACAGTTCATTTATTGGTGCACAGAGTTCTTAGGAAACGAAAGTTATTCTGTTTCTGGGAGGTGGCTACAGAATCGATTGAAATGTAGACAAATGCATGTGAAGAGTCATGTGAACTATTTGTAGACGTATGGCTATTAATGATAAGAACCATGAACCTGTTTGAGTATATGCATAATGAATTCTTGCCTTTGATTGGATACATTGTCTTAATTGACCTAGAGGATTTCTTCACTATCCCTCAGGTTATGATCCCGTCACCGGATGCATTGAGGGTGCTGCTGTGGTACCGGAATGCTTAATCGGTGATGATGCCACGGAAGCCGGCCATGTGAACGATAGTATTCCATCTGCACACTTACCAGTTATTGGCGTATTGATGATATTTAGTTTTCAACTTTGGTTATTTTAATGTTTTGATTTGGTTGCTAATTGCTTCCTTACAAAAGTTTCGTAGAGGGGGTGATTTCGGAAATTGATAATGCTCCTTTTTTGTTTTGTTAAGGATTGTATTACATTCTAACGGGTCCTTCACATATGTAAGTTTGGATTGAAGGTTTTGACTACACATTTCAAGGTAATCTGAAGTTCACGTCTTGGTCTTTGTTTTGGTTGACGTATGAAGTGAGTTCAGCAAGGGTTTCGAAGCATCGCAAGTTGCCAGCATCAACAGGTAGGAATGAAGTTGAGTCAGCAGATGAAGCAGAGAAGTCGGAAGAAGTCCTGGAGATTCAGACTAGAAACTCAATCCCTACTGAGACCTTGTCATCTTCAACGTCTGATTCCAGTTTGAATACGTCTAGAAACGCTGTGGACTGGAGTCGTGATGATGGTGTTGACCTTTTAAAAGATAAGGTTCGCAGGGAGAGACCAGGAGTGAAATCCTTTATGGCAGCACCAGCCAAGCCGAATGGAATCTCCGCATGGTAATAACTTGTCTGTATAGGAATCTTGGAGTAAATTTTAGTTTTCTAGGTGTATTGATAGTCTGTAGGTAATGACATTGTGTGCGATACATGGCTTTGTCTCACATTACGTGGGTAATGTTGGGTTTAGGATACCAGAGAAGTCGCATGAAACTGACAATAGCAGCGATGGTGATAGTGAATCTTCTGACGAAGAGTCATCTGGGGAGGAGGACTCTGCGAGCGGGTCTGAAGAATCTGGTGATTCTGATGATGACTCAAAACCTGGTTCCAAAAATAATATCAGAAAGACCAAGGTGAGTTCTTGACTGGTCTCAAGGCATTCGTTGGATAAACTGTGGAGATGAAATGATTTAATTGGTAAGTAGATTATGCAGCTGCTCACTGATTACTTTCAAAATACAAGTTGGATCTGCTATAGAATACCAATGTTCTCATTCTCGCAGATCATTAGTGTGGTTTGTGTTATTGGTTTGTTAGTGAATAAGAGTTGGTTCTTGCCAGCCTGCAGACTCTAATCGCGAGGAAGTAGGTACTGGAGAGATTTTTTCTAGCAGTGTTTTGGAGGGTTCAACCAAACAAAAGCCAAGACCTTTGAGAAAAGATAAAAATTGCGTGGAAGATAAGTCTGTGGGGATTGCAAAAACTACATGGAAGCCTAAGATTAAGTCTTCTTCAAGTAGTTCTGAGAACAGTGAAGAATCCTCGAGCAGCAGTGACGATGATACCGGTAAAAATAATCGACATGCTCAAGTAAGTGCACTAGGATTTGTAACTTGGATTTCGCTAACAGACTACCACTTGATGAATGCGATTTTTTTTTTCCGTATTCTTAGTGTGATCGCCTTACTATAGCTTCTTATATGGGCCATCATTGTATTTGTGTGCGTCCACGACTGATTGCTAGACAACATCTTACAAGTCCGTATGGAACTCGGATATTGCCATCTTTACTGATCAGGATGGATGTTATATTTGGTCTTCATGTTCTTGCTCTTCATCTTGACAATCTGATCATTGCGTCTGTGTATCTTGTAATAAACACATGACATATTGTGTGTTAACTAGCCCACTGCTTAGATAGTGAGATTCTGCACAACGTTGTGAATTATTTTAGTCAAGTTTCTTATTTGATGCTTCCTTGTTTGACTCGTATGGTTTCAGACCCGAAGAGTATCGTTAGGACAAGCCAAAGAATCTAAAGCATCCAAAGATGTATTTATCACATCTCTTCCTCCTCATGCTTCCTCAGAAGACCGTTTCGACTGGATGGTTTTAGGTCTCCAGGGTCCCTGGCTGCCGCTGTCATCACACGAAAAAGCTTCTGGAGGTTCTGAGTTGATTGATCAGTCATCATTACCTTTAAATTTTCCATCAACGGCAGTGTATGTTGCAATGTATCAGAAGTTAATAGTAGAAGAAGCGAAAGCGACACTTCTAAGTGATTGGGAGCAGTATCAAGCGGAGAAAGGTTCCAAAACCCAGGCCATGATTGAATCAGGTATATTTTTCAATGTGTCGTGAAAGACTATGTTTTAAGTTTTTTGTTGTGGATTTTATGTCATTTTCCAGATCTTTCTGTATTTGTCTATGCTGACAGTTCGTGTCCTCATTTTTTTTACTGCTTGTGTAAAAAAAACATTTTCGGTGCATTTGTAGCAACTCAGGATCCCAGGGGGCAATCCTCAGTTTGGCAGCTGCGCAGCATGGTTGAGACAATGGGTGATCCGTTTCACTATTTTGAAGCCGAATGTGTAGAGGGTCCAAGAGTTAAATTTGAAACTGGAGAGTTCTTGTGCATGATTGAACCCATTTCAAAAAAAGTCAAGGCTGTTGCAATCGTTAATCACCAGGATCGTAATCAAGCTCCTTTATTGAGATCAAGAATTCCCAGGGACTGTTCTATTAGCAAGGTACTTTGACTTCACGATTGAGAGTTTCTCCGTAAGGTCTATGATGCGTGCTTTCGCTTGTTCAAGAAATGCAGAATCTGCCTAACTTGTTGTTGTTCCTCATGACTGCAGTGTGTCCTCCTACGGTTGTGCAGCATGGTGACAGTACGCCGCATGTTTTTGGCGGTTTCCACTGTATCAGAAGTCTTTAGTCCTTTGCAGCAGCAGATCATGGATCCCCTATCAAACCTCAAGTTTCTTAAATCTTCAGCAGCGCTTGAGAGTTCTTTAGGGAATGATCCTAAGGGAAAACTGAGTTCGGAATCCCTTAGGAATTTCCGCGATCGCAAGGTTCTGAACACTTTGCAACTGCTGACTATTTCTAGTCTTCTTCATATGTCCCAGGGTTTCCAGCTAGTACAAGGTTGGTGTTGCTTGTTAAGTTCCTATTGATCATGCATGTCTTCTCGGGAATAACAATTGTTGTCCTAGAAGTATGCTTACATTGCCCATTTAATGTAATCTCTTTTGTCTCTTTAACCTCACAACTTTGTATGGCTGCATCTTCAAACGCCACCTGTTCTCTGTTTGATTTGCCTGTATATTATGTGCAGGGCCACCTGGTACGGGAAAGGTATGTCCAATCATCAATATCTGTGTTTTAAAATAACGAAAGTATGTGAAGGAAACAGTTATTGCCTGTCACTGCAAGTCGAGATGGAGCCGTTCAAACAATTTATTTAATCTTGAAGTATTTAAGGGGACTGGGAGGATTTTCACCCGACAGCGGTTGTGGTTTAAGTCAGCTTTGTCTGTAGTCCTGTGTGTCAGCAGTTCTTGCACCTTGGTTGTGCATATTATCTTTTCTGCTCTATTATTGCCCATCATAAAATTATCTGTTCCTGACCTCTGCCGGATGTGGATATTACTGATCCTGCAGACCTCTACTATTGTTGGTAGGTTTTTCTTCACACCTCATCAAAATAAGTTGATTTGATTTTGTCACCGTGGAACGTGTGACCAATTCATGCAATTGTTTTTGCTTAGCTTTGTTCTCGATCAACTCATTAAGCTTCCTACATTTCAGATTAACAGAATAATAACTTAAGCTTCATTCTTGTAGTAATTTTTAAATACCGACGCTAGAGAATAGTTTATGTTTCTCGTTGCTAACACACGTGTGTGTATACTTGGGTGATAGGAATGGTGTCAACATTACTGATTGAACAACCTGGGTAAGATTTCATAATCTACCTTGAAACTCCTGGTTCGTACTAAAAGAATGCTTTGTACTGGATATTCTGACCTACATGATTTTTATGAATATGAATGCCCGAATGTGTGCTTCGGGTTGATTCAAAGTTTTCATTTCCTGTTTGTAATCTCAAGTTGTGGCTATTGTGTTCTTTTACAGGGTGAGAATTTTAGTATGCGCTCCCTCGAATGCAGCTCTGGATGAGGTGGCAGTTCGTCTTACGCATTGTATGGTTGATAAGTTCGGAAATACTTACAGCCCCATGGATGGAACTGTAGTCCGTTTCGGGTCAAAGAAAGTCATGCACTCTCTCGCCCAGGTGATATCGCTGGACAATTTGGCTCTCCGTCTTTCATCTAGTTCTCGTTGCTCAAGGTCATGGGTGGACATTCTGGATGGAGCAAGCGTTGTATGTGCAACTTTGAGTGGTTGCGGAAATTGTACTTTCGACGAACTTGAAAAAATGTTTGATATTGTCATTATAGGTAAGGTAATCATGTTTTTTTTTAGTGTATGTTGCTTTCAGAATGTTTTATTTAAATTTAAAACGTTATTATTATTATTATTATTATTATTATTCTTTAGTAAACAGATTTTTATTGATGCTTGCATGATGAGGTTTGTCAAGATGAAAAGTTCTTTTAAACTGTTAATTTCAGTTGATATCAAGGTTGCCACCTGCATCCTGTAGGGTTCATGTTACTGACACTTAGTGTTCATAAGTTTTATTGACTCTTGATCTTTCGTGGGTGTTGTCTATGGGATTTGTCTTCAGATGAAGCAGCTCAGGTATGTGTTGACAGTTGCTCGGCTTATTGTCGTAGCTGATTCAGTGATTTTGAGGTGGCCAAGGGGAAGATTAAATAGCTCGACTGAATTGAAGAACGGAGTTGTTATCGGATTACACATCTCATTTTCTGTCTGGTTTGTAGGCGGTTGAAGCAGAGGTTCTCATTGCACTGAAAAGAGTTCGAGGGAGGTGCGTGTTGGTGGGTGATCCTAAACAATTGCCAGCGACTGTTTTTCAGCGACCCAGTTACGATTCCTTATTCTCTCACCAACTTACTTAGTGTCATGTAGATCATTGGAATTGCTACTATCTACAGGTTGTGGCAGCAGCGCACAGGCTAGTTTTTGGGGTATAAAGCAGTGATGTTTCAAGCATAATTGTGTTGTTTGACCTTGTATCATGATTTTATCGTAGCTTACCAAATTTTTCTTTTTCCACTTTTAGGTACGGCATACGGGCGCAGTTTGTTTGAACGGTTTCAAGGGGCAGGTGTTCCTGTTCATATGCTCACAACTCAGTACCGAATGCATCCTAGCATTTGTTGTTATCCTTCCCAACAGTTTTATGGTGGAGCACTGAGGGACTCGACTCGAACAAGTAGCATGCAGTCCATTTTTAGACAAGAAGTATGTAGAGAGGGCATCAACATACGAGGATGTAAGTTCAGGCTAGGCCACTACTACTTCATGGACGTCGGTTGGGGAATTGAACGAGAAGAGATCGTGGGTCACTCACGAGCTAATTTTGAAGAAGCTCTTGTAGTTTGCAATGTTGTCGAAGGTGTTGTGAAAGGTCTATTATCTGGGCTTAAACCCAATTTGGGAGTGATTACTCCTTACATTGCTCAAAGAAGTGAAATCGAAGGCCAGTTGGAGAGGCGTGGAATCGATGGTACAGCTTGTGAAGTTAATACTGTAGATGGGTTTCAAGGAAGAGAGAAGGACGTGATTGTGCTATCTTGTGTTCGAGCGATGGCAGATCGAGGCTTAGGTTTTGTATCAGACGAAAGACGAATGAACGTCGCCTTAACAAGAGCGAAGTTTTCACTTATCATTGTTGGTCATGCGGAGACACTGCAAAAATGGAGTGCTACGTGGGGTTTGCTCATTGACGATGCTCGGAAGCGTGGCTGTTACCAAGTTCTCTCAAATTGCAGTATTCAAGCTAAATCCGCAAGGAGCTGGTACGGCTTTTGCGATTCCCCGTCTTTGTGTTTTTCAAGTTGTTCAAGCTCAAATGTTTGATCCTTTCTTTCTCATTTCTTGAGGTGTTGTGATAATGAAGTTATTCTTCATAATCATACAATTTCTTGTGGTGTTTTACAAATTTCCCAGTACTGGATGTTGAGATGCTAATTCTGGTTCAGACTTCTTTAAAACTTTTTTACTACATGGTCTATATTTGTTCGTTTCGAGTGGATAATCTGGAGGCAAGTGGATTTTCAGGAAACAAAGACCCCATCCTGGAACGGACGTGCATGGTATGGTGGAAGAGGACACACAGAAGCCAAGCAGTTCAAGCAGGAACTCTAAAAGAGAAGTTGAAAATAATGCGGGAGCGAAACCTAGTGGGGGAGATTTAGAGGCCACAAACAAAACGGTAGAAAAATCTTTTACTGTCAAGAGGGAGGTGAATTTGACTGAAGACAATCCTGGTGTAGCTGTGCACTCAAAAAAAAAGTCTAAGAAGAGGAATGTAAATGAAAGTTCGTCAATTTTGAAGAAACAGAAAGTGGTGTCGGATGTGGCCGAACCTTCTGTTATGAAGAGACCACATAAGTTAGAAGAACTCGAGCAGGAATCTCCAGCTATCCAGAAGAAGAAAAAGACGAAACCTGTTGTCTTCTGTCTTCCTTCTTTGTACTCTGTTTCCCAAAGTGATTTGACGCCGTCAGCTAGATCGTTAGAGGTACCTATTAGGAAAATAAAGGAGGAGATTATTGATAGTTTGCCTAAGTTTTCATCTGAAAGGAAGGTCGGGGCAGTGAGCGCCAGTGAGGTGCCGGGGCTGATTTCTGTTAAGAAAGAGGAGGAAGTTGAGAATGAAGCAATATTTTCGGCCCCAAATGCCTTTGAGTGTCGAAACCCACTGATGTGCGATGAGACGCCTGCAAATCCCATTCCTCGAGGCATTGGTAACCGGTGTGTGTTTCTCCTCACTCGGCAGACTGTAAGTAATCGTCAAGTGTTTCAGTTGCTTTAATATTAAAATTCTGTTGAAAAGTAGACTTGAATTGCAGTGTCCAAGTATATCAGGCGTCTCTTACTGACTTGAACAATTCAAGTGGCTGCTTGGTTGATTAAACAACTTTTGTCCATCGAATGTGTTATGTTCTAAGATGCGGTATCACATTCATATTGTGTAACCAGAACGGTGACACCTTACAACCTCTGATTGGTAATACTCTCCGAGTTTTGGGGAGTAGTATCATCATAGTCCTGCCGAAGTTTGTTTTCTTAATGTTTAATTTCATCTTGATGCAGGAGTGACAACGGAACACAGAGGCGGACTAGTGGGTGTTTACCGTCTTTGTCAGAACAACACTTACCACACAGCAGGCAACCCTCTTCAAGAAGTGTTTGTTCGAGCTACCCTGCTAGTTCGACCCAAGGCTTTGCAACATTCGATGAGTATGATATGGCAGGTAGGAAACCGCATTGGGGAAACTCGTATGAAGAGACCCAAAGCCCGTGTAAACGTTTTCGTGCTCATGAATTGAACATGGGCACTCACGATTCGACCTCTGTTCTGACTAGAGCAAACAATTCCTTGGGGGTGCAATGCAGTAATCGGGATACCTTTCAGGTATTTGATAATGATTTGGCTCAACAGACTAGTGCTCTTGGTTTTTGACTATTTCCTTCGTAATGGTGCTCTGCTTTCAATCGCATTATTTCTCACTATGATTCGTTTATTTGTTTTACAGCTAGAGTCGAGGATTCTTTCTCAGCATCCTAACTCAGCCCACACACCATTACATGGAAATCAGCCCTTGGATCACCTGCATAATCAACCGCTATGGACCCCACGACAGATGCTTCCAACACCACCTCGAAACAAGCGAAGGGGAAAAAGTTCCCAGTCTGCTGCTAATGCTTCACGTCGGTCATCACATAAAGGTCATAGAAAGTTCAACGGCAGGCGTAGTCATCCTGATCGTTAGATTTCTAGTACACTGGTGTAAGATTCGTGGGACTAAGTTTGCTCACCATTACAGATAGTCGGGAAATTGGAACCAAATGCGTATTACCATTGTTGCAATTCTTTTCAGTGTTTCAGAACATAGGTTATTTTTCATACTCCTGGCGACGTCTAAGCACTTTTTTGCAACTGTTCAAGTTAATTTGGAGCATTTCAATACGTGGGGTGGGGGACCAATCTTCTCAGCATTCTCCGTTGAATTTCTTACTTCCGAGTGAAATACACTTATTGAAGTCATCATTGACTGCCCCCTACATGACTTCCAAAATAAGATTTTGCATCTTCTGGGAATATGAGGAATTCTTTTATCAAGTGTATACATGAGCAGCACGAAACCCGCCTCAGACGAATTGAACCATCAATGAATATAATATTCTCTTACCGCATTTTGGAGCCGCTCCTGAAGTAGCAAGTCACGCTGGTGTATGGACAAATGACAATCATTGACTGACGTCAAGCGCAGAATTCTCAGTCCACATCAGGTGTAAGTCCTCTTCCCAGCATGAAGCCAGCCCACTCTAGTAACGATGGCAACCTTCCCTCTCTGTCCTTCCTAACTTCTACGCCCAAGCCCTTCTGATAATCTGACGACTGATGATTCTTTTTTCCCCCCCCCCCCCCCCCCCCCCCCCCCCCTAAAGTTTTTCTCCCTCGTCCTTATCACTGTTAATGGGTACTGTTTCGCAGGGTTGCAAACTTGCTCAGAGATGTTCAACTGTTTAACAATGATGAATGCAGCCCCGAAAGTCTGTTTTTATACCAGCAGAAGCGTGAGCAACCCCCATTTATTTTCGGACCTGGTCCACCCGCAGTCTATCACGGCAAGTGACAGATTTGTGTGGGTGCCTAAGCCTAACTCATTGTTAACTCCAAAACTCCAAGCCTGACTCAACCGACTTAAACTGTAGGTGATTGACATCATTCAGATCTTCGGTACATTTTTAGGCTTACGGTGTACTTCATTGTGGACGAATACCTTCGTCGTTATTCGCACCGAGAGCTGCTGATCCCCTTCGCAGAATCTTTGCATAACAGTTCTGAGTTCCTTCAGTTGTCACAAAATTGTACGTTGGAGGTATGGATGTATCTGAAGGTTCAGGAGGACACAGCGTGTGGGGCAAGAGAGTAGATAGCGAGAGTCACGGGCAGTTGAGGTCTGCAGGCAGCTGTTACCCATCCGCAAATACTGGTCTTGGCGGTAAGAAGGCTTGTCCAAAAGATAAACTAGTTAGGCAACACTTGGAACACCTGGTTCCTGCTGGTAAAATGGAAGGCTTTGCAAGTCATCTACGTACAAGCTGACAGTCTGACACATTTGTGAATGTTTGAATCTTCAGATAAGCTTCGTTGCGTTTGCAAACTTACTAGAGATGTATGCACCGACAGTCGTAAGACCAAGATCCAATATTGGAGAGAAGGACGAAGCCACATCGTCTGGTTTCGTGTTCTACGACCTCGGTCGTGAGTGCGGACGACCCGTGTTTGCATCGTCATTACTCTTGACAAACTGTTTCAAATCGTGTGGAATTGAAATCATTCCAAGTGCTCCGTAGTCACTTCCACTTAACCAAGATCTCTTGCACTCATTGTCAATGGACCTCAATTGCACGATGTGAAATTACAAACTTCAATCTTACGTCCTTTAAGAACGATATTAACATTGCATGAATATTGAATATCGATCACAAATCATGATTTCGCAATTCAGCTCTAGGTCCACAAGTTTTCCACGCCCAATGTGTTCTAGGCTCACATGTTGCACATTTGATGTGCAGGTGTGCATAAAATGAACCAGAAGCTCCTACAACTTTACGACGTGGAAGAAAGATCATCGTTTGATATGAATGACCTGTAAACCCAAGTACTGCTCAATACATGATTGAAGGATGATTTCATCATAATTCCTGCTTGTATGATTTATGGCGAGCGATATCTGTGGTCGATATGATCACAGTTAAGGAAACGACCTCATCCGGGAAAATAAATGCAGAATGTTACCTGCATCTTCGGACACATACTTCAGGTGAATTGGACCTGGTTATCTATGATTTCTGTTGCCCTGTTCAGTTCAGACCGTCTCCAAGTGGAAAAACTGAGTTGCCCCATTAATAAGTTTAAGCTTGATCTTCACCCGTAATTACAGGCAAAAATGGATAGTTTATTGAACATACTTCACTGAACTTGTTGGATTACGAATATTTATGAGACATGTCTGCAAGTCGATTGGTCAGATGCGAACATTGTGTTCGTAATTGCCACATGTTTCGATGATGCATTATTTCAGAACCTCGAGGTACAGATGAAGATATTCTCCCTCGCTAGATTCTTGGAGACATGATCTGGAATAATCCTGAATGGTTTTCCAAGTGAAGTAGCAATTCAGTAATAAAAATCCACAGATTCCATGTGATACTGGCCAGAGCAGAGAAGATTCTGAAGCAAGGTACTATTGTGATAGGCATTACACATTACTTCAAGAATGTCTAGGTTTGGGAGTTGGTGGATAAAACTGAGAGGCCTTTGAGTTGGTCATTAGCCATGGATTCTGTAAACAGAAAGAAACAACATAACTTGTCTACCAAACTATTACGAGAACTGGATCAAGATAACTGCATCGAGAGTTTTAGTGCATTGTCCAATCTCAAGTCAATGGTACCATAAAACACATGGCAACACACATCTAGATTAGATAAAAACACAGCACATTAGCCACTCCCTTCTACTACTTTCGAAAGAAGCTTGTGTGCACGACTACCTGAACCTGCACAAAAGTGAAGTAAATTTCAATTCACTCCAAAGCATCCCAAAGTATTTTTATTTTTTATTTTTTATACATGTGTATACTCAAGACTTAGTTGTCATATTGGAAATTATCAATATAATCAACAAGCTAGCGGGAATACACTAAAGCTAGTCTGCCTTGGAAGTGCAGAAGTGTGTATGCATGTAAAAAATGATAATCAACTACTCCTGACAATATGTGTGTACCCAATAACAAATCATACTGATAGCATAACAATGTGGTGTTTGAAGACATGTCTGGACAAAAGTCCTGCTTAGTTCAATGTTGAAGCAAAGGCTACAGTGACCATGCTGGAAGCATGCAACAAGACTTGATAATGCTTTAAACAAGATGCATACAAAACA